TCCTTCCTTCCTTCCTTCCTTCCTTCCTTTCTTTCTTTCTTTCTTTTCAGGCACCATCTAAGTTGCTGTTTGGTTCCCCGATGAAGCTTGGGAAATGACCAGCTGCATCCATATTATACTGTGTGCCTTGTTAAGGTCTTCTCTGGAGGTGCTGCGCGAAGTTCCTTTTCGAGTTTAGGTACGGTATGGCCAACAGTCTTCTCAAGGGACCTGAACTTTAAGATGCCGTCTCAAGGTGCTGCCTGTTCCAACTTTCTAGTACGCAGTATTTTATTACTCTTCATTTTTGGTCCCTCTCTCCCTCTCTCAATCTCTGTTTGCTTTTACTTGTATTGTTCTAAAACATTCTGCAGGCCACTTTTTCAATGATTTCAAAAGAAATACAAACAGCACAGTGAAAGAGACACAAACAGAGAAAAGGAAGCGATGGCCTGTTTCCAGAAAATTAGCAAGGGGTCCTCTGGGTGAAGAGTTCCACAGGAAGGACCTTTTCTTAGAGGAGCATCTTCACTGGGAGCATCTACTTGAGCCAAATGCTCAATGCCAAAGGGAGCTCCTGTTTCTGAGACAATCAAGCCCAGTCACTGAGGGCTCTGAAGGCATGAGCCAGCCAGGTCTTTTTAGAGCTTTTAAGAAATGGGGGCATCTACTTTGAATTGACTGGCTCCACTTGGAACCGGCAGCTTCTACTAAGAACATTGGAGTAGAGATGTTAAACCAAAGAGAACCAGCTGGACCAAGGGCGACCCCAGGATCCCAACCCAACGTCCCTCCTTGCCGCTTTTACCTTTCTTGTCTCCATCCTGTGGGCCGTAGTAGGTGAAGAGACGCTCCAGAAGACTCTCCTCATTGCCCCCAGGCTGAAGGGACTCCTCCTCCAAGAGCCACAACAGGCCACGGGCTTCATCGGTTCGGGCAAGCGTGCGAACCTGCAGGGAGGCGCCCCACACATTACAAAGCTACCGGAGTCGGTGATTCCAGTGAGAGGCTGGGATCTGGGGGGCAGGGGGAGGGGGGCAATAAGCGCAGGGCGGGCATCTTGTCCAGGGGGCCGTGAATAGTTGGCTGCCCCTCCCTGCCTGCCTGGCAAGGCCCAGCCCTGAAGCTGTGCAACGGAGGAAGCGAGCAACAAGCCACGGCAGGAACAGCTTTGTTTGGTTCCAGCTCTGAAACAATACCTTCCCCACAAAGAATCAATACTTAATACCAGGTCTGGAGAAACACACGTCGTCTGGTAAAATGGTCCAGCACGAGGCATTTACTCTGCAGAAATTCAATCTGGAGGCTTAAGCATCGAAATTACTCCCTGCAACTCAGCGGGGAGCAATCGGAGGAGCAGCTGCTCTGAACACACACACACACACACACACACACACAGATGTGTGCCTCAATCCTTTCTGCTGCTTCTGGCTTTTGAGCAGAGTTTGGCAGTGAAAGCCGGGGGGGGGGCGGGGGAGGCGGCTATTCTCAAAGAGCCTTCTTCTGCTCACGGCTGACCCCTGGGAGCAAGCAAGCAGTTCGCCACTCCCTGCAAATAGGGCAGATCCCTATGAGCAAGGACACGCATACAAGACCCTAGGGCAGTGTCCTTCAACCTCAGCAGCTTTAAGATGGGTGGGTTTCAACTCCCAGAATTCCCCAGCCAGCATGGCTGGCTGGGGAATTCTGGGAGTTGAAGCCC